CTGTATGGAGGGCTGGGGKTTTAGGCCAGAGGTTCAATATCTAGATCACTAACGTCACATAACATGAGYAAACACGTTTTAGGAGACTAAGACTACATAAGCAACTACCTCAGGTGTACAAATCTCCCAGGCTCAGAGTGTGTCTAAGGCACATGTGCTTGYTGTCCTGAGGGAGAGAGGGAAGTTTTGTGATGCAGCACATGCAGATAATGCTCTGGCCCAGGCAGGTTCCTTGAGCCCTCATCCTGGCCCTGGCCCAKGGCTGCAGATTTGTATCCATTGCCAGTTAATGCAAGGTTCTCCTACWGTGACAGGGGGTGTTTCAGCCGCTGGCAATAGACATTTGAAGCATGGATATCTCTGTTTTCGCTCACAAAGCTTTTCTGCTTTATATGAAAATACATAAATATTCATGGCTAAGAGCAAGTTTCAGTGATTGCATGTAGCATCAGTGATACCATTTGTGACACCACTGGGGCTGCCAGAGATACGGGCTAGCACGGGCAGCCAGGGAGGGGTAAATTTGGCAGCAGTCGACAGGAGTTTGCCATTCCCACCTTGTTGCCTAGTAGTCAGGGAAGACCTAGGATTCAGGCTATGCTTGAACATGTGTTTCAGATTATTGAATAAATTGGCCTCAACTCACATACAGGCAATTGCTCACAAATGCTTTTGACATCTCTTTCTTCAGCGCGCCCTTTGCTCCAGCTTTCTCTTTTTGGAAGCCTTCTTGATCTATTATCTTATATTGCCTTCCTGACCTGACTCTCAGCCAGGACTGAGTAGGCAAACAGGTGCCAGTTTAGGGAAGACAYAGACTGCAGACACGGGATAGAGCCGCTGCAGTGCCTGTCCACCTTGCAAAACACGACACAGATTTTTCTGAGTTATCTCAAGGCCTTAGAGAARTGTAGTCATACTGGGGATAACAACTGCTGCATGAACAAAAGCACAATAAAAAATCTGACAAAATCCCTGTATTAATGCAGGATTATACAATGTCTTATATATGTCTTCTAGTGCCAAAGCCAACAACTGAAATGTGGATTAGATTTTTCTTTGCTATATTGCTGAATGTATTCTGCCTTGAGGAGGAAGAAATCTCTGCACCTTGGGTGATCCTAATGATCCTTATCACTAGGGATAAGGAAGTGAAGGATTTAAACTAAATACAGCACTCTAAAACCACATCTCTTGCTGAAATCAGAATCTGACTTCCAAAATATTATCAATGGCAATCCTGGAAACCTTCTAGCTGATTCAGACCAAGCAGTGTCAAGAATCGTCTAGTGACCTATGACTTCTTCCTTATGGTATTACCATTGGTRCACATAATGAATATCAATTCTTCAATCTAGAATGAGGGATTTGAACACAACAGTAAAGCACTGCTCTATGAGACACAGTGCTACCGTGCTGTGACCCAGACACTGAGAGGATAAATGGTCCACACCAAACCAGAGGTCTCTCTGCACTTTAGACCCTTGTGTATGTGACAAATCCCTTCTGCTGTCTACTGTGAACAGCTGTGAGGACAAGAATACCCTGAGGTGAGAACTAAGTTATCGCAATACATATTATTTCACTTAACACCATTCTCCATTCACAGCTTTCAAAACCAGACGGTTTTGAGGCGGGGAAATGAAAAAGCATCAAGGCTGATTTGTTCTTTTCAATGGCATGGGTTGTGTTTGTGGGACCGACAAAGATCCCATCCTGGCAACCACACCCCTCTTCCCCATGGGCATGGGGCCATTCTTCCTATATCCAGCATGGGGCCAAAGAGAGGGGAAGGTAAGAAAAATGAAATTGCTGTTGGCACTGTGTCCTCATGACAAACTGACTGGCTATGAAYGATTTAAGTCAAAACCTCAAATCATGGATTGTTCTCTCTTATTTTCATGGTGCTTCTGGTACACGGGGTCAAAATATCTGCCTTTTACCTCTGGGAAGTAGGGCTTAGGTTCATTCTGGGAGCCAGAAAATAACTGCAGTAGGGAAGTGCACGTTGGGGGCATACCATGCTGGCTCTCAGTGCCCCCACAGCCAAGTACTGCCAAGCAAGTGCTCCCTACACAGGACAGTACGAAAGTGTGAAACTCACAGAACAGCAGTCAGGAGGCAGCTGCATTGTCCAACCTCCTTAAGTCTACTTTTGTCATGAGAACATATTTTTGTCTTAATATAAGAATATGATTAAACGATTCTCCAAGATGTATGTACAATGAGATATGAAAGAGAAAGATGGCAGGGGGCCTCTTAGAGAAGCATAAATCCTGTAATATTTCCTTTCATAATTAATTTTTCTGCTTGATTCACAGATGGCTACACCTAGTGAATCTAAGGGAGATTTCGGAAGCCTACTGCCCCATAGTTTGCAAGCCCATCAGTGCTGACTGCACTGTTTGCTGCCTGTTCTGTAAACTTCAGTGACTGAAGGGGGAAGGTTGGTCAGGTTATAATCTCCCTATTCTCTCCAGCACAGAGCTGCTCCCCATAGTACCTTCTTTACATGGGCTGTGATTTGCACAGCCCACCATGACTATCAATTAGCTCCCACAACTTTCAAATTATTTTTCAAATTTTTTTGGGGGAGCCTGACAGAGCCTCCCTACCAGGATATTATTTTTGATGCTAAGTATACTCTTTCATCTGTTCATTTTGTTTCCAATTGCTGTTGACTATGCCTGATAAATCTCTTCAAATAATTCCTTCATTCCAGTCACATTTCTTGAAAGTTCTCCTTTCTTCCTACATTTAATTTAGCATTTTCACAGTTACATCTTTTAATCCCTCTCCATAAATTAATACCACCACTTCCTTTAAAATTTTGATGTTTTTACTCTGAATTCACATCAGTTTCTTCTTTCTTTCACATCTTTCTCCTTCTGAGTCTTGTAGACAAAACAAAACCATCAGCAGCCTATGCACCATCTCTTGCCAGCACTGGGTACAAAGGGATAAAGGACCACCCAGTGTGTAATACATTGCTTTTGCACATAAAAATGCAAATTGAACTGTTTTCTCTCTCTCCCCTTCTATTTTTTTTCCTTTTTTATTTTTTTTTTATTTTTTTTTATTTTTTACGGTGGGGAAGCCACTAGATTGCATTTCAAATTGATGTCCAAATTAGTGCCCTTTAATGTTCATGGGCCTTCTTCTCAGTTTGTTTCTGCATGTGGTGTTGCTCCTTTCCAAGGCTTGCAGGTAAAATACTTGGTTGTGACAGTATTTACATTCCCTTGTTCAGGTGGCTCTTTTAGGATTTTTTTTTCCCTTTCTATTGTCATAGAAATAAAACAAGTGCCACATCCTAAGCCTGTAGCAAACCATGYGCAATCTCAATCAAGAAAAGCAAATTTTGCACCAAACACCAATGTTACCCAGGGACAGAGCATCCTCTGTGCTGCAAAAATTGGACTTTTAACACAAATTTTTTAAATTCATTAAGCATATGTGTACAGAATCACAGAATCATAAAATATGACTGGAAGAGGCCTCTGGGGATCTTCCAATCCAAATCCCCCACCAAGCAGGGTCATCTTCAGCAGGTGACACAGGAAAGCATCCAGGTGGGTTTTCAATGTCTCCAAAGGAGACTCCACGACCTCCCTGAGCAGCGTGGTCCAGTGCTCTGACACCCTCAGTGTAAAGACGTTCTTCCTCAGGCTCAGTGAAACTTCTTGTGTTTTAATTTATGGCCATTACTTTTCCTACTATCACTGGGCACCACTGCAAAGAGCCGGGCACCATCCTCTCGCACCCGTCTCCGATATCGTCATATGCGCTGATGCGACCCTTTCTCAGTCTTTTGTCTGGACTAAATAGGCTGAGCTCCCGCAGTCTCTCCTAGTAAGAGTGATGTTCCTGACTCCAAATCATCTCTGTAGCCTCCGCCGCCCCTGTTCCATAGCTCCTTGTCTCTCTTGTGTTGCGGAGCACAGAACGGGACACAGCAGAGGCGGTGTAAAGTACAGATGTGTCCGTACAAAGTCCATTTTGTGTCCATAACRCGCGTGTCCAAAGTTCCTSCGCAGGACCATCGCGCCCCTCAGASCCCCCGCGCTSCTGCTCCCYGGCGCCCCCTAGCGGCCGGCCGAGCCCGCCCGGCGCCCTCGCGCGGCGGCGTAGTCCCGCCCCCTCCCGCGCGGGGAGTGGCTCTGATTGGCTGCGGCGCGGCCGGCACCGCCCCCTGCGCTGGGTCGGCCCTGGGCGGCGGGGCCCGGCTGTCATGGAGGGAGCGCGGGCTCTGGCGGCAGCAGCGTTCCTGTGAGGGAGCGGCGGCAGGCGGCCCGGAGCACCGCGGGAAGGTAACCCGCCGTCTGGCGGGCCTCTTCGGACGGATACCAGGACGGCGGCCGCGGGCAGGTTGGGTGCCGTGAGGGAGAGGAGGGAGGGGGATGGGGYCGGCGGGCTCTGGGCGCGCCGGGTCCGGCCGTGAGGCGAGTTGGCTCGGGCTCTCTCCGCCGTCCGGGGCTTCGCCGGAGTGCGCCCGTCGCCTTCCCCGCCCGGCTTCCCCCGGGGGTGCGTGTCGGCGGGTCTTCTGGGGGGAGTTGAGGACTGTGTGCTTGGGATACGCCCCGAAAAGAGTCGGGGGTGCAGCTCGCAGAGGTGTGAGGGAGAAGAGGATCATGCCATGTCTGGTATGGATAACGCGCTGGTAGTGCCAGCCCCCTCCTCTCCGTAGCTTTCCTCAGGGGCCACCTCGCGGCCCGGGAGAGTCCCAAGGAATGCAGCTGGACGCCGGCGCGCCGCGCGCCACAGCAGCGAGTTTTTTGGGTGTAGCTGCGGGAAAATACAATGCGGTTACTTGTTTGCGAAGTAGGAGGTGAAAACATCGAGAATTCTCCCTTTTGCAGGTTTATGATAAGCATAGCCTGCCCTTCGTCAGGACCCTGTTTGGAGTTTCCATGTTGTCCTATGTGGAAGAAGCTGATCTGAGAAGAAGCTGGGGACATTCTTTTAGGGCTAAGCCCTTCCAATAAGCTCTTGACTGAAAAAAAAATCAGGTGTATATCCATCCGGAAGCAGAGAGGTGCAGACTAAATGGATCTAAAGACGGCAGTCTTCAATGCAGCTCGTGATGGCAAGCTGCGGCTCCTTTCCAAGCTACTGGCAAGCAAAACAAGGGAAGAGGTGGCCCAGCTGATGTCAGAGAAAACCAATGGTGCCACACCACTTCTGATGGCAGCCCGYTATGGTCACCTCGACATGGTGGAATACTTGTTGGACCATTGCTCTGCATCGATTGAGGTTGGTGGCTCAGTGAATTTTGATGGTGAGACCATCGAGGGGGCTCCGCCGTTGTGGGCAGCATCGGCCGCCGGCCACTTGAAGGTTGTTCAGTGTCTGTTGGATCATGGTGCGTCTGTCAACAATACAACCCTGACTAATTCAACACCGCTTAGAGCTGCCTGTTTTGATGGTCACCTGGAAATAGTTAAATACCTTGTGGAACACAAAGCAGACCTGGAAGTATCAAACCGTCACGGGCATACGTGCTTGATGATCTCATGTTACAAAGGCCACAAAGAAATTGCTCAGTATTTACTTGAAAAAGGAGCTGATGTTAACAGAAAAAGTGTTAAAGGTAAGTTAGTTTTTTTTTTTTTTTTACTTTCATTGTGGTGAATAGAGGTAAAGTTACTCATTTGCTTCTTTCTGTCAGGAGTCTGGCATCCAAAAAATATTTTTCTGTTCTCATAAACTGTAAAATAAGATATAAAATTATAAGTTATGTTTTTACTTTTTAATGTACTCTTCTTATGGATTACAAAATTTCGTTTTAAATGGATACATTTTAATCTTAAATCCCTAATTTTTGAAAGATTAGTYGTATGAAATGTCGCATTTATGCATGTGTTAAAAGCTAATGAACTTGCAGAGAGATACTCTGTGTAGTACGTTGGTCTAGCAACATGCTCAAATACATGAGCATGTATTCTTGGTTTTCGTACTATTTCTTCGTAAGTCAAATATGCTGTACTAAAATAGATCTGTGCCAGTGAGGCTAGTGTAAAGAAATAAGCTTAAAGGAGAAAAACTACTTTCTGCGTTGGAAAATGAATAAACACTACTCTTCACTCTCTAAAAATTACTGAGTAATTTCGTAACTTTTTCTGTGTTAATAAGCAAAAATATATTTAGGATTAAAAAAATGAAGATGCAGGGACTGTAATCTCAACAGAAGCACTTCCAGTGGCTCACAGATTTCAAAGGACACTCCTTTACCCCTGTTTACAATTGCTCTGGCATTTCTCACAGTGAAGATTTCTGCCTTTTTTTCCCATAATAATAATTAATTGGGCATCTAGGTTTTTTATTACATCTCAGACCTGTATTAGGTTGTGACATTAGCCTGAATAGCACAYCAGTTACTGCAAATTACTGTTAATTTTTTATCTCACTGGGCCAGTATTATGTTTCAGGAGATTTTGCTTTTTAAATATATAACTATATATTAAAAAATAATCTGCTAACAATCCTTTTTGTCGCATAATATTTCTACTGCCTTTTTCAGGCTAGTTACATTTGTAGCTGTCCACTGTGCCTTCCAGTTATTTCTGTTAAAATAACCTCCGTGTCTAGATTATTGTATGTTACTGGTAAATACCAAATGTGAGAGTAATCTTTAGAAAAGCTGCTTGGTTAAATATGCCTTTTTTCAGCAAATCATGCAGATATGTGGGTTTAGCGTAAAGAAAGCTAAACTACAGATTTGTCACGGAGGTGGGCAGAGCAAAATAAATCTTCCTTTGTAAGGGTTTGAGGTTGCTTATGAATCATCATGGACTTGTGGTAGGATAAAAATGTCATTTTTCTAAATAATGCTCTTGGAATAGCAAACTAAATAATGTGTGTAAGCAACTAAAAACTTGGTATTTAGTTTCAGACCAGTCCCTTTATACAATGGGTGTGAACCAAGCAGTGCTGTTAAATACTTAACAGGGAAAAAGATGTAACTCAGCAACTTTTTCCTCCCTCATTTTGTGTTTCTCCCTCATTTTGTTGTGTTGTTGTTTTCACTTTATTAGTTCATTAGTATTATTTGTCTTTGTTTGAATGACTGAGGATTTTTCATGTGCTGTAATTATTATCTTAATTCCTTTCCCTGCATCCTTTAGTTTCCGTGTGMCTTGCGTCTAGTCACATGAGCAAAGATACTTAAGGTATATGATAAGATAAATGATCCTTAATTAAAGAAGTTGGATTGATTATGGTTAGGCTCATTAAAACTCATTTTATCCTTCAGATTGTCCTGTGTACAAGTATATGTGTGTATGTAATAATTATCTATTGCTAATGTGTGGATTCCCCTCTGGTAGGACAGGAGCTTACTTTTTGGTGTCTTAAAGAACTCTGATCTCTGAAATTAGTGAATAAGCCGTGGTGAAGTYAGTGAATAAGCTGTGGTGAGGTGAGGTAAAGTAAGAAAGAAAGAAAGTACTATAAACCCTGAAAATGAAAGTCATTCTGTGGAAAGGCAGAAGAATGAAGAAAATTGGCAGCCATAAGTATTGTAACAGTGACTGAGATGCAGCAGGTAACCTCTTTAACTTTGCTTTGCAAAAATGCTATTGATTTTAAAATTAAACCAAAAGGATTAATTCTACATTGTCACCTTTCCCCTCAAAAAGTCTTATGTATTACTTTCAATTTCTACTTCTCGTGCTGACAGTGTGTCTTGTGCTTGGAGCAGGAAGATGCAGACCACCTGAATGTTCTGCACCTGAGTAGTGAAAGTCGTTGCTGCCCTTGTGTGTGAGGTYTTTTTAAGGAGGTGCCTTCCTAGGGCCATGTAGGGAGAAGCCTATTGTTCTGTGAAAGRTTTTTAAAATATTCGTTGCAATTAAAATTGCAGTGCTCCTTGTAATAGCAGAACTATTTAACTTCAGTAGAGTTGCAGTTATGGGAGATCCTTTACTATAGATCCTTTCTCAGATCTTTTTCTTAGAATCTGTGTGAGGGTGGGGAGCACAATTACTCAAACTATTTGTTGTGATTTTCCACTAGATTTTCATATTGCAGAATAGAACTTAGTATACATTTTAAACCTCAGGAAAGTGTAGATATAGAAATGTTTCAGAGTGTTGAGATTTACGGGGAAAAATCCGAAWACATTGACGTGAAAAAACAGGTACGTTCTGATGCATCTAAATGTAAAAAAGTAGGTGAAAACATGCGAAATCCTGCTTCTAAAATGCAGAATCCCACAACTATGTTTTGGACTATGGAAATTCAAAATAYGGAGGTTCTTGAAAAGCAGTTACAGAAGTACTGCGAAGATATTAAAATTTCCATAAAGATTTTAGGAGTGTGTCAGGCAAGATGCTGCAGTGAGGTGAATGAGGTCAAGTGTAGGTCTGGAACTGTTGCACAGTAGATGGTGCTGAAGAAAGAGGTTATAAGATGTTTGTGGTAGATGAGTCCTCTGCTGTGAAAGGTGGYCAATGGTTCTGAGTTTAGAGCCTTTGGTTGTATTTGTCTCTACTGTTTTGCAGATCTGAACTTTCAGTTTCCCTGAACTTCTWTGTAGAATGTAGGCCACAGAAATGCAAGCAGAGGATTTTTTTAAAAATGTTTTACTTTACATGAACAGTGTAAACAATGGAGACAAACTGGTAACTGGGGTAAGGGTAGATGGGTTTTACTGTTTTATAATTGTGGAGAACAGCAGAGATACCTGTAGATAGGAAGCAGCCAAAGCAATACTTTACACTTTTTACAAATTATTGCAAAGCAATAATTTATCACTGTCTCCCTGATTCATAGCCTTCTCCACTGTACTAATGTCATAGTTTAACACCAGCCAGCAGCCAAGCCACAGGCAGCCACTTCCTCACTCTTCCACTAGTGAGACTAGAAAGAGAATGGGAAGGGTAAAACCAGAAAACTCAAGGATTRAGATATAGATAGTTTAATAGGGAAAACAAAAGCAATAGACACAAGCAAAGGAAAACAAGGAATTAATTTACCACTTCCCATGGCAGGCACGTGTTCAGCCATCTCCAGGAGAGCATCATCTATAACACATGGATAGACAAATGCCACAAATTCCTAATGTCCTCCCCACTTCTTCTTCTTCCCCCCAGCTTTATGTACTGTGCATGATGTCATATGATCTGCTATATCCCTGTAGTCATTTTGGATCACCTGTTGCAGCTATGTCTCCTCCCAACTTCCTCACAGTGTGGAAGTACTAAAACAAGGAAAGGCCTTGGCTCTGTGTAAACGCTGCTGAGCAATAATAAAAACATCTCTGTACTATCAGTGCTGTGTTCAGCTGAGATCGAAAATATAGCCCCATACTAGCCACTGTGAAGAAAAGTAACTATACACCAAAACCAGCAAAACTACTCCTCATTTAAGAAGCTGCAAATTAAAATAAGGAAGTTTAATGAGTTTCATTTGTAGTTAATGATCTCTCAGATGGGAAGGTTTGATGCTATTCCTAAAAGTAGAAATAGTAGTATAATGTTAGTGTAGCAGAAGCATAGTTTTTTTTCAGCAGGTGGAATCCTAAAACTAAACCTCAAGTGAAGCACACCTTTGCCTCTTTGCCAGATGAGGRGCTGTTCTGTGTTGGCTGCATGCAGTTTTCTGTTCTGCTGCATTATGAAGCTTGGCTGTGATTTGTTGTTGGAGTGGTGSTCCCTTATTGTTCCCTTCAGAACAGACCCTGCGTTACCAAACAGTGTTTCATTGAGGTGTTTCTGTGCAGTCTTCATTTGTTGATGTGTATGTAGGCAGGGAAATGCTTACTCTCCTAAAACAAGGGGGAGTCCTCTTAGGGATTTCAGAATTACAGATTTGGACTCTTTGGGGCTATGTTTGTTGGATTTTATATTTAAAATACAATATTGCATGTAAGTTCCCTGATAAAAATGTTTTTCATGCAGACTCTTTGTAAAGAAATCATACACTTCTGTTTTAATTCCAGACAGGACTATTAAGATACTGTGCGTTTTGAAAATTTGCAGTGCRTATTTGAATAGTTTGTGTTATACTTTATTCTCCTCTGCCAGATCTGCAGAAAGGAAAAGAAAAACATATCCATTATTGCAGCAATTAATGAGTTAAATTATAGATAAAGTATACATGTGCTGGTAGCCAGGATGGGGTGAATGCAAGGGAATAAGTGACCTTTTTTCTAAATATCTGCTTGAAAGGCGGTTCTGTTGTGTTCTCCCTGAGCATAGCTGGTATTTCCTTTGCTCAGTGGCTTGATATGTGGTCTTTCTCTTTAAAGTGTTTTTTGAGGTTTTGTTAGTGGTTTCCACCAACTCTGCCCCCCTTCTGTAGTTAACAGACTCATCAGTTATCTTAAAGACTTTTTCTCCACAGTATTAGAAAATCTTATAAGAAATGCAGGACTAGGCATTCTCTTAGGTATCTCTTGAGATGTGCACAAGAGTGTTTTGATTGCATTTAAAAAAAAAGAATACTGTGATTCTTAAATCGACCTTGCACAATATTTGATAGTTCYGTAAAATAATATGGAAAACAAGGTTTGTTGACTTCGCTTCCTCATTTTGGGAAGTACAGAGGCATACAAACCTCTGTCTCTGGGGAAACTGTATGAAGGACTAG